GCTGAGTGCTGGCAGCTCCCATTGATCTTGGTCAGCAGAACAAGGACCTGAGCAACGAATACACAAAAAATCCACAAATCAAAACTTCTAGTCTTAGCTTTAAATTAATTTAATGACCTGACTGATAGTGAAATCAGATTTGCACTAGTCTCAGAGAGTCAACTGCTGAAGTTAGGCACCTGGATGAGCACTCTTTGTGAGTGTAGCAAGAAAGACAGAGTATTGATCAAACAATGATGAAAATCATGGTCTTAGTAAATAGATAACAGAGTTATAAAACTGGCCCAGTTCTGGCAGTAATGCCCACTTCAGTTACAGGGAATGTCCTCAGAAACCATAATATCTCTAAAATCAAAACGAACTTTCAATTTGTACCTCTATAGATTTAAAATGGAGACTAGTCCTACTCATCTGTCTTTGCACCTGTTTTTTAAGTGTCCAACTAACTGCTGTTACTTTCACTAAGTGCTAATTCAGTATGTGCCTAGTTGTTTCTTGTCCTTATGGTGCTAGCATTACTCAAAAAAGAAAAAAAGCTCTATTAACCATTTCAGTTCACAAGTAAAACATGACTGCCTATTACTAAAAATTCCCAGTTACTTCTATATTTCAACATATAAAGACATTTGTCTTTGTGCTGCAGCCTCTTTGTAAGTGCTCCATCTAGTTCCTCACCTCATTCATCTCCCTCTTTCCTTCCCAGCAGTTTATGTCAAGAACAAGCGGTTGCAATGGTGTGCAGTCGACAATGCTGCTGCAAATGTCTTCCACCGGGGACAGGTGGCACATTGCCAGGCTTCCCAGGCAGGGACAGGGGCTGCTTGGTATTTACATCATGCTCTGCCATACCCTTATGCCTTTAGGCTGCTGGGAGGCTGGCTGGGCTACTTTCCTCCTCCTGGGAGTCATTGTCTAGATAAATGAGATGCTCTGCGTACAGAAATAAAATGTTGTGCGTACAAAAGCAAATGTGTTGTAAATTTTGACCTCCTTTTTCTAAAGAAAAAAAAAGGGTTTCATTTCTACATAAGCCTCTGCACACAGTGACACCTTTCAAAGTGATCCCAAATAGCTATGCAAACATGGCATACATTTTTTGTCTTGGTTTTCAGATCCACTGATGTTTTGTCACGCAGTACATCCACACCAGGCATTTCAGGATGCGCAAGTGGTTCCTGCATGCAAAATGTAGACAGAACAGGCTTACATAATTTGTAAATAAAAGGCTGCCTTGAAAATTGGACCTTTTTCTTTTTATGCAATCTTTCCTCCAAATTACTTATCGTCTTTTAAATAATTGCTTTTTTGTAAAGTGGCAGTTTTAACATCCATGCTGTGCTTTCAGATGCTCGAAGAGTGAAAAACTAGCTAGGAAGAGAATTTGCCTGCTCTTTAGCACTTTATAAGCAGCATTCACTTAAGTATTCTTTTGCTATTGCTTTACTTACATTTTTAATCTGCATTATTTCATGTTTACTGGATCAGCAAATAATCAAGGTCTTTAGATTTTTTTGGAATGTATTTTATTCCTCTCCCAAAAAAAGTTAAATGCCTCTATTTAAATAGCTTTTACCACTATATGCAAAATACAAATAAAATGTAAATAGTTTCTTCTACTAATCCACATCTGCCTGGGTGTAATTACATGATACATGCTGGTTAAGCACAAAAATTTTGAATAGACAGCTTTTTAATTAGGCATGTGCATTGGGTCACAGTAGAATTAAAATGGGTTCTAAAAAATTGATTGTATAAAAATGGCACCTGCTTACTCAACAGATCTGATTCTTGGGTAAAGTTGCAGACACATGTTTGTGCCACATCTTTCTGTTGGCCCTTGTAGAGGAAGCCAAGTTCAGAGCCAGTGTGCTCAGTCCTTCCAATGATGGGGACAGATTTTAGCCTGAGTTAACCATGTCTGCAATGATGCTTTGTAGAATTACTGACTTTCAAATGTGACAAACAGCTGATTTATATCTGTTGCTCAGGTTTCATTAAGAGGAAAATTTAGCCCTATCAAATGCAAGTTTGAGTACCTGAATGCCTAGAAATACATTTTGATTTCACTTTTTGTCAGATTTAGCAAATAACGATTTTTGTTACCCTGATTTTTTTCCCCTGAACCTCAGTTCCCAGAGTCCAGTGAGTGAAAGAAGGATCTGTGGATAGTGGTTACCTATCAGCTTTGCAGTGTTTGTCAGCACATGGGTAAAACTTTCTGTATGAGGTAAAGACTGGGAAATGGTTCTTCCATGCCAGTATGAACAGAGATATTTTAATGGGCTGTTCAGTGTTCTCACACACCAGCAAGTGGTCCTGAAATTATTGCTGAGTACAGAGGCAGCTGAGCATTATGTCTCCCAGCAGCTCTTTTCATTTCTCTATGGCTGCCGCAGTACTATCTATCAGATAAAGTTGTTATAAAGCTAATAATAAAGTGGTCAATTTTAAATTTAGCTCTTCCAGTCAGTGGCTGTGATTATTATCTGTATGTAGTTCTCCCCAGGTTAGATTCTTGATAGGTTTTGGCCGTTAATTTAATGTTCCTTTTTAAAAGAAATAAGTTAGAATTTTCTTGGCAGGTTTTTTAAGTATTTCAGTATTAATAGGCAATAGTCATCTTACACTGCAATCTCCTTTAAGAAGTTATTATAATTCAGTAATTTTTATTTTAAAAATAAGGGTAATTATGCAATGAGTATTAAGAAAAAGTAGGGCCAAATTTTTCAAAAAAAGATAAATTGGTCTACCATGAACTGCAGGATCCTAGGTTTTATCTTTTGTCTACAAAATTATGCCAGGCAGATGTTAGAAGCTAGAGCCAAACTGGTTTTACAAGGTTCTGTGGCAGGTCAGAGTACAAGAAAATAGAGAATTTCTGTTTATGCAGAACTTTTTGAAATCTCTTACATCCAAAGAAATGCCTCTACCCATTCATAACAAAAATTACTTTTTCACACAGTGGATTGACATTGAGATCCAAAGTTTCAGAATATAATTTGGCAGCTAGTGTTTAACTAAATGATCCCTCATGCACTAGTTGTCTGTACTGCTACTAGTAAGTGTATGTGCACATGTAAAAATGGCTCATTTCCAGCAAATCTTCACCTCTTTCATGACCATCAATCACGTGCCATTGTTATTAAAATTACCCCCATGTTTCATATGTCACTACTGGAAACATGCTAACACCTCTGAGTTTATTAGTAATAGGCTACAGTGCCACCAATCTTGCAGCACTTTGCAGAAAAAGAAGACAAGGTTACTGCTGAGAAGTGACAGAAATAGTTGGTAATTACAGTAGATAGTGTGGGTGGGCAGGTGAAGGGAAAGCTTCAACAATAAAGAAATCACATATTGCTAGTTCTGAAGCTCATGCAATGTGTGCATATGCAGAATTTAGAGTATATGGTTGAGAAACGCAAGTGGGAATAAGTAATGCTGGAGAAGTTAGTCGGATTTACCTGGGCTATAAATGCAGCAAAAAAAAATGCAGCCTGAGTCTTGCAGAGCTGGTGCTTCCTGTGCTGGCTTGCCAAACCATGGGCTGGTTTAACTCCATTGCTATTGGCTTGTGCTGGCTGCAGGGGGTTAGCAGAGCTGTCTCTGCCCCCCACCAAATCACAGCGTTCTGACATATTTTAAGCCCATGAACACAGATACTGAGAGCTTGATCCAAAACCCATCAGAAACAATGGAGACTTTTCTACTAAACTTTGAATGTGATTGTAAATTAACAATAAAGATCTAATCTGCATTTTTTCTTCTGTGTTCAGACTTCAAAGTTTAAAGAATTCTAAATAATAAGAAGGGCAGTCCAGTAGGCAATTCAGTTCACTGAGGTACCATAAAAAATTCCAGCCAGGAAACTGAGTGCACAAAAACCAATAATAAGAAGAAATTATCAAAGTGTTTGTATACAAATGGTGGGAACATGGGTAAGAAAATGGAGGAATTTTACCTACTAGTGCAAGAGGTGTATACAGACATTCTGGGGGTAATAAAAACGTAGCAGAAACAATAACTGGAGTCACTGAATAATATAGGCTCTTCAGAAAGGAGGCAAATAGAGCTGGTAGCATTAAATGAAACATTAGGATAATTTGTAATGAAATGAGTTATGTCAATAAAACAGATGCTGTTTTGATCAAGCACTTCAAGCATGAAAAAAGTATTTTTGCAGAATTAATGCTTGCAGAAAATCCCCAGGGTGTCAGATTTAACTCTGCAACATTATTGTAGAGAGGAATGTAAGTAAGAATCTGTCATTAGAGGTTGATGAAGCTCACAAATTTCTTCACCAGTCACTAAACCAACAAAAGATAATGATAGTTTAGATCTGGGTTTTGCTTTGAAATATGTAGATAACAAAATGTAACCTTTAACCAAGCATTCAGGCATTGAGTCCATTAACATTACATGACAAAATAAGTAATGATCAGCAACCTTTAATAAGCAAAACAAGCTAGTTAAAGAAGTGAAATATTCCAGGGCTTCATGGATATTGTGTGAAGAAAACATTAAATTTCATCAAGTGTAACATACTGTGTTATATCTGACAACAGGGGACTAGCTTCAGCCATCCAGGAAGTCCCCTCCAGACCTATGTTCCTAAATTTGTCAGTTAAATGCAGGAGCCTTAAGTAAAGCAGAGGTAATTGTAAGACAGTTTGACAAATTTGGTCGCTGTCAGTATTCTCTAACATTCTTTGACTCAATGCTGAATTTAGACATTGGCTGCTGGACAGCAGAACCTGTTCTTGTGACAGTGTAGATGTTTGAGATGTAGGACAGGATATTTATTGTCTACTCTACCGGGTATCTATCAGACCTGCCACTTCATCTAAAGAGTCTCATTCAGTTGCCTTCTCCATAGACCAGCCTTCCTGGTATCCCTCATCCTTGAACACTCTCAAGTAAGACAGGGTTGGTAGGGCATGTATAGAGTTTGTACAGGCTAGTGAGGAAGATGAAATTGGAGAGAGCACCTGATAATGAAGATGTCGAAGTACAGAGATGTTCAGCCTGGAGAAGAGAAGTTTCAAGGGGATATTACCAATGTATGTAAGTACCTGAAGGGAAGGTGCAAAGAAGATGGAGCCAGGCTCTTTCCAGTGGTGCCAGTGATAGGACCAGAGTCAATGGGTACAAAGTAAAACACAGGAGCTGCCATCTGAACATCAGAAAACACTTTCTCACTGTGAAGGTGACCAAGCACTGGAACAGGTTGTCCAGAGAGGTTGTAGAGTCTCCCTCCTTGGAGATATTCAAAAGCCACCTGGACATGGCCCTGGGCAACTGGTTTTAGGTGACCCTGCTTGAACTGGGGAGTTGGACAAGATGACCTCTAGAGGCGCCTGCCAACCTCAGTCATTCTGTGATTCTGCAAGCAAGCTCCAGTCATTTTAGTAGGTTTAATTCTAAAAGCCAAGCAAAGTTTGATGCTTAATATAAATGTTCTGCATAACTTCAAAGATACCCACTCACTGTGAAACTGTGATTTGTGGAGGCAGACTATGGCTTGCTCAGAAAATCAGGCAGGAATTATAAAGGGGATTGCTATTATGCTTGTCCATATGCACCCATTATTATTAGAAGCAGCAGGAGAGAACAGGCAGAAAAGATACTACAGGAACCTTTCAGGGAGTTTCCCTAAAGTAGAAAGGTTTTGAACTTTGCATTAACATGGCACTGGCTCTGTAATGCTCCTAACTTATCTCTCTCTTCCTACCAAATGCTGGGTACTTCTCTCTGTGTCAGCAATGAGGAACTCAGCCTGGGAAATGAGTTAGATTTGGAGAAACTCCTACAGTCCAGAGATTTATTTGAAGGATTTCTGAAATTAACCCCTGTTATTCCTCCTTTGTGTCTCATGATCTGAAACTCTTTGTTTCTTTCCAGTTGAACACCACTATAGCTATTTCTTTGACTTGAACTTAGTAACTCATGTTTTCTTCCCCATCACTCTTAACCTTCAGCCATATGTTCTCCATACGCCAGTACAGCATTATGGGTCCCAAACGGTTCAACTGTGAGTGAGTTACAATTTCAGAGTGTGCCTAGACATTCTATTCATTTTATACCTCAGAAACCACAAAGACCTTTAAAAATGTTGATTCAGGAAATGTTAAAGAATTTTCTGCTGTCTTGTGAGGGATAATGCAGGGTCTTTACTTAAAGAAGGAGTTCTTACCCAAGAACTTCTAATGCTCAGTTTTGCCTGTTTAGTGACTGGGGAAAGGGGCTACTTGGCCTATATATTTCCTGACTGCACTCCTCATGCACAAGCTAATTTCTTTTCACTGGAGACCTATGTAATATCAACTAGTTTATCTGATTTTCTGATTTATGAAAAACATATTGTTTTAATGATATTGTTTTATATCATAGCTAATCCTGTACAAATGCATAAAGTGAAGGGGTGAAAACAGGCAATGACTTACTTGCCCAACACAATAAATGCATTATTCCTTTTGCACCCTGCTTAAGTATTGCAAGAGAGGATGAACAAACAGATTGGTCTCCTCCCACCACATATCTGCATTGCCAGCACTCAGGGAAATAAAGAGTGCATGGATTAAAAAGTTGCAAGGGTACTATTAAGGCATAAGCTACTGAAACAGGAGCATGCACTGAAGAGGTCTCTGTTCAACAGCATCCATCCTATTATGAGCAATGTCAGCCTCACTGCTGATGAGGAAGCCAGGGATGAGAATGCAGGTAAGCTCTTTCTATACCAGGGCATGAGCTAATCACAATGAATTGCAGCCATTGCCACAATAATTTAGTACAGTACATTCCTTCTCTCTTTTAAATCTTGACTTTTGAAAACTCTTTTACTCTTAGCTGCTTGAGACAGAAGCATTGGAGTTCTTTCAGCACTGCCTATGAAGTGACCTTACTGCTTTTGCTTATAGTTTGAAATCTAGTTATGATGCACATTTAAGACAGTATTTGCAGCTCCTAAGGTTTCTGTGAATCATATTCACAAACATTTAAACAAACTCTCTTAGTATTTTTTCCCTAGACACCCTCTGAAGAAATCTTTCTCTGAATCACAATTTGTGCATTCACAATTAATTCCTGTCAGGCTGTTAGACAGGCTGATAATGTGGGAATTGACCATTTCATTTTCACACAGAAACAGCCTTTGCCTTTCGTTGTCACATAGAAACAGCCCTTGCACTGGCATCTTGATGATGCTCTTTTTTCCTCAGTTTGCTTGATTAGATCTTTTGATTGAAGTGCTTGAAAGACATAATTTCATAAATACACTTGAAGCAATTCCACACAGACCACCTCATCCTCCCTAAATTATTCTCATTTTATTGCTGAATTTTCAAATATCATTAAAAACATTACATTATGATAGGTCAATTATTGAACTGTGTACCCTGCAGACACCTCACAGTGTTGTCTGTAAAAATGATTTCTTGTTCCTAATTAGTGGTAGGATAATAAGACAATCTTCACTTGGAAAATTAATTTAACTTGTGGAGTTCTCTAACCAAACATCCTTCTCCTTTGTTATAAAGATGCAACCTGTTTTATTAAAGTGGAAACTGACTGTGGGTCATCAAACTATTTTGAATATCCTTTGTACCGATTGCACATTTTTATTTTAATATGCACCTTAACAGTACCATAAAAAAATTATTTGTGGCTATAAATATATAGATCCATTTTAATAACAAGAAGGAACTTGAACTTATTTCTGAACTTTTCAGTAACAGAAGCTGCTTGATGCATGAGCAATATGGAGACCCATAAATAGCCTGTTGACATAAAGTATTCTGCTTTCATATATGCTCTGACTGGTAGCTCTGTACTATACATGAGACAACATTTGGAGGTAAAGGTTGTATCTTTATTTTTATTTGAACAGCTTGTTTAGCTAGAAATATTAAACTGATTTTCAGATGTTTGTCTAAGTTTTTCTAATAAAAAGCTATTATACCTACAAAATTTGTCCTGTCATTGTCCTTGAACTATCATGGCTACAACAAAATGCCACTAAGCATCTCTATGATATGCAAGATAGTTTAGTTCATGCCTAGAACAGGAAATGACTGTACTAGTCCTGGATGTCTGATGGCAAGTAATGATATTTAATAGGAAACTGTCAATGTCATGATCAATGCAAAAAGTATTTCCTTATGCACATACATGCACAGTCTTGGATCCCTACTAATTGATTTTTAAGTCCACAAATGCTTACTGTTCCCTTTCTTTTTCCTTTTACTCTTCACCAAACAATGGTATTTCTTGACAACTAACCCTCCAAATAAACTTCAATTGTATCTTAGAAGAAAGTAATCTGTGGACTACACCAAAAGGAGTCAAAAAAATAGGGAACAAATGTTAAGAAAAGGTGTATGTCTGGATGCAGCTTAATTCTGCAGCTGTGAGCTTACACAGAAAAGAAATAGTACTGTCATTGTCTATTTGTATTACATTTGCTGGCAGGCAAACTTTACTTTTTTGTCTCCATTATTTGAGTCAGTATGTTGATCTAATTTATTTTATTTTTTAGTAGAGTTCCAGCTCATAAAAAAAAAATTTTGCACTGCATATACAGTAACTGAAATTGTCTCATGTTGTCACTATTTTTTCTTCTCTTTCTAGGTGATGTCATTGTCTATATTAATGAAGTTTGTGTCCTTGGACATACTCACGCAGATGTAGTCAAACTCTTCCAGTCTGTTCCTATTGGTCAGAGTGTCAACCTGGTGCTATGTCGTGGATACCCTTTGCCCTTTGATCCTGAAGATCCTGCCAACAGCATGGTGCCACCCCTTGCAGTAATGGAGAGGCCTCCGGTAGTGGTAAATGGAAGACATAACTATGAAACTTATTTGGAATACATTTCTAGGACTTCTCAGTCTGTTCCAGACGTAACAGATCGACCACCACACTCCTTGCACTCCATTCCAGCAGATAGTCAGCTTGATAGCACATTCCCACCACCTGCCCATGATGATAATGTATCAATGGCTTCTTCTGGGGCCACCCAAGCTGAACTCATGACCTTAACCATTGTGAAAGGGGCCCAGGGCTTTGGCTTCACTATAGCAGACAGTCCTACAGGACAGAGGGTGAAGCAAATTCTAGACATTCAGGGATGTCCTGGTTTGTGTGAAGGTGACCTCATTGTTGAGATCAACCAGCAGAATGTACAGAACCTGAGCCATGCAGAAGTAGTGGATATACTTAAAGAATGTCCTGTTGGAAGTGAAACTTCTTTGATTATCCATAGAGGAGGTAAGTTTGGAAAGTCTGTACAATTACAAAAATGTGTGTAAAAGGTTCTAAACCGTAAGACATACACGTACTCACTACATCCTTGTGTGCTAGACTGGAAATTAATTTCCATGTTGTGGGAGGTAACACCATTGGTTCTGGAAAAGTGTGTCTGCAATTAAGTATCCTAGGCAAAATCTAACAGTTTGTTGTACAATCCTTTTTGTGTTTTGAGTGTCAATGGTCCCAATTCTTATAAGGGTAAAACTAGAGCAGTTCCAGACCTTTCACCCCATAATAGTTTGTATGGTGTATTCAGCAAACTCATAGTCCCCAGGCAGTACTGCAAGCTTTAGATATAATTGTATATATTGATTCATTAAGGTAGATCAAAATCAGAGCAATCTATTAGCACTTTACAAGGTTACTGGTTTTGATAAACCATTTTGCCTCCTTTTCCTTCATTGAAAAAGTATTGTGCAACAGTTGATTTATTTGTTTCTTGACAAAAAATATCTGTACTATATTTTTCTCTGTTTTAAAAAAATAGCTTCTAGCAACTTAGTTTTTTCTGACCAGCCTGACACAGTAAGCTTGAAAGTACACCACTGGAAGGGGAAAGTCAAGATTAATCTGTAAGGAAGCAATAACCACAGAAGTCATCTTAATACTTTGACAGTGATAAGTAATTTCATAGCTTTTAATATTTTAGCCAAACAAATTTTCTTTGATGATTTGAGTTGAGCATCCATCACAATTTATTATTATCTGAAGTGAATAATGATTGAATTTCTTTAATTAAAGATCTTTGTTCCTCTAAAGGCATTCATATGTCACTGAATGTACATTACTTTGTGCTTCAAAAGAAAAAAAAAAAGGATTCTATAAAAAAAATAGTAATTACTTTCCTTCTGAAGAGTAGAGGTTGGGAGGCCAAGTTTTAGTGTTTGCATATGCCAAATGTTTGTCATTAGAAAACCAACAAATCCTTAGCAGAAGGAATATAGTAACATTTTATCAAATTGCAGAAATAATAAATGATTTAAATATCTGTAGATTCACATAGTCAATAAAGTAATTTTCATATCTATATTTAAAAGAATGATTTATAAGAGACAGAATCTGACATTTCTTTGGAATGAAACCAACTTAAGAATGATAAGTAAAGGCCAACTGATGTCACTATAGTATATGAACTTGGAGAAAGTTAATTGTTGCAGAGGTGCTGTATTAGTTGGTATTAAAGCTGGTTGTATTTAACATCCATTAAGAATCTGGAACAGTAGAGTAAGCAACATTTTTTTCTGAAGATGCTGACAAATTAGGGAGAATTGCATAGCAAAAATAGAGTATAAAGGGGATTAGAAGGGTTAATGTAACCCCAAAAGATGGGATTTTATTTTGAAAAATGCAAGCTAATCCCCTTCTAGAGGAAAACAATTCAGAACACCAATCTTCAGAGAGAAGTGGAGTGTGAAATCCAGCATGCTGAACAAGCCTGAGTAATAATAGACAGCAAAATAGATATTTCAGCAATCGGTGCAGGACAGTAGGAAAAAACCCTGAAACAGCAACATACTCAAGCCCATGAGGATAATTCCTCTCTCTCAAGAGAATTTCTTCTTAGAGCATCAATTCATGATCAAAACAAGTTGATCAACATGATAGTTTAACAAGTTCTGGTACATTAACTGAGCTGTGGTTATTTTCTACTCATCACTATGGCAGATAGGAGATACTGCACTGAGCTCAACCTTCAATAAAAGCAGTATAAATTTACACCATCTTGTCTTTGTCAGGCCAAACACTGAAGTACAGATAGTTACCCTAGCTCAGCTGACACAAAATACTAGGTCCAAATGCAGTAAAGTGTTCCTGAGTCTTAACCCTCGGTTGCTAGGGCAGGGGGTGGGTTGGTTGCTTTAGAGAATGCAAAGAGAAAGAGAGTGTGTTTTGTTCATGGTAAAGCAATGACTAAGGCTAAAGCAACTGTTTGGAGGTACTATAGAGTGATTAAACTTAATGGGATGATACAAAACAAATGAAAGTTTACTATCAGAAATTTCTGTACATCAGAAATAAGGAATATACCTTTATGCAAGGTTGTTAGACTCTGAAATTAAAGAAAAGGCTCATTTGTTTGAGTGATTCAAAAGAAGTGAAAAAATACAGTGTATGAGACAAACCTCCTCTACCTGAGAGATAGCTAAATCATAGCTTAACAGAAATATGAGAACTGTTTTAAGGTGAGAACCTGGTCTTTTTTCATGAATTTATAGGAAAAGGGAATCCATGTGACCAAATATATATCTATAGTGCAGGTAATTATATCTATGCTAGTCATAATGTCTCCTTTTATAGTCCCTAGGCAGAAATAGGCCTTTCTAGGGTGCAGTTCATGTCATTCTAGTGTAGATGTTTCAAATAAGTCAGGTGTACCCTAAAAGTATATATTCTGCTTGACTGAATATAAAGGGAATTGAGGATGATTGGTTCAGATGTACATATCTACCCCACATGCTATGAATAAGAAACAGATGATAAGATTTGGTCATGTGAGATAATGTGAATACAAAACAAATTTCTAGTCCTTAAAGAAACCTGCTATGATTCTAAAATATTTAGTCTGTGACACTAGTGAAGCAAGGCATACTTTCTCGTTACTCATGGATCCAATTTTTATTTTATTCTTTCTAATGTGTAATGACACTTGAATAATACCATCCTTTTCCATCATTACCTTGTGCATCCTGTCTTTAGCATCTCATTTTTAAGATTAAGACCAAAGTACTATTCCTGCCTGTGGAAGAGGAAGGCTGTGTTTTGCATATGGTTGTGTGTTGCCTTGTAATGTATTCTGTCTCTGATATGAATATGGCCTGACTGCATAGTTCACTGTGGCAAATCCATTTTTGTAATGACTTAATTTCTCTCTCTCATCCAGCAATCTTATCTATATTGTGGACAAGAAACAGATCGACATTAGCTGAGATATATTCTCACTATAGGAAAAATGCATCTTAGGAAAAAATGCGCTCTTATATGCATATAGTATGCTTGCTACACCATTTAAAAAAACATTGTCCCTCAAGCTTAGGAGGTCAACAGCCAGAGTATGCAGGGGAGGGAAAGTATGCATGAGTATGCATGTTTCAAAAAGATGGAGGGAATAGCAGTACTGAAATTGAAAGAGGCCACTAAAGAAAACTCCCTCAACCAACACCAAACAGAGACTTGTCATGGGGTACAATCCAGCTGGAGGAATTCCCACTGAATGTAGTGTACTCATTTTAAAACTTCTAAAGCAGACGTAGTAATTTACCTGCTTGTTAAAAAAAAAAAAAAAATCATGGAAATAATATCATTGTCTATCTAAGAAAACACTTAGCAGCACTTGTTTAGATGACAAGTATGATATTCTATGGCTAGACGTCTTACAATCTTCTTTGTGTTGATTAGTCAGGTTCTTTGCTAAACACAGATGCGCTGCTTAGTTCGGTATCTTTGCATCTGTTTTTGCTGACCAGCCATATAGTTTCTACTGATTACTATAAGCTGAGAAGGTTTCATACTGAAAAAACCCTAAAATTATAGGAAAAGATGGTGGAAAAGTGTTGCATAAAAAAGAGGAAAAAAATAATAGGAAAAAAGAAGTGAAGAAAAATATATGAAAGTGTTTGTTACCCAAACAGATTTACCCCTTTCCACCTCTGCTTCAGCATTCACACTTCATCCTCAGCTTCTGCAGCAGTCTGCATTGAGTATAGGCTACTGAAATAGTGTGGAAGAGCTCTCAAAAATCAGTCTTTCTGAATGTGGATAGAGCAGAAATTCTGCATTAGTCTGGAACTACTGAAAAACAGCACTATGTGGTTGAAGCAGTATGTACCAAATTTATGTAGAGCAATATATTCACTAATTAGGATATCAAAAATTGGTTTTGGCATGTTCTACTAAATGAGCTATCCAAGTACCTGACATATGCTGTCTCTTTTGGAAAGTACCTTTGAAATATAGGAACCTGTAGACAGCAGCCCAGCCCCAGAAGTGTTCCAGTCTAAAAAAGAACTGACACATTCAAATGTAGATGCATCAAGACTATGTCTGAAATACTGTCGTTAAGGAAATCTGAAGACAACCCAGGACTGATTCATGAAGCTATGGCAACTCCTAAACAAGTACTGTGAGTGAAACATTAAAACTAAATGCAAAAAGTGGGAGCCTGACAAAGATCCTACATCAAGCAGCTATTTTATAATGGTGGAATTCAAACAGGCTCTGAGAGACTGAGACTGTTAGTACGAAACAGAGCCAGAGAACTGACTTACTGTCCATACTGGGTAATTGTTAGCCCACTCTTGGCATGGGACTGGAATAAGCCAGCAGCCAGTTTCACCCTGACAGGATATGGGAGATAGCGTGGGCCACACACAATGTACCAACAGTCAAGAATTTCACTATATAGATGTAAACTGTGAGAATAAAAGGATGGCCAAGTATCTTTCTCAGATTTTGTATAAACCCCAGTAGAAGATTATAACTCCTTAAAACTGCTAACAGATACCAGTACATCACACGAAGCATCAGCAATTTTCAAAACTACCAGAAATTTCACAAAAAACATCTCTGCATATTCTAGTGAATAACCCTAGCCCCTCAAAATGACCAGACTTCAATGGAAGGAATACTGCATCCTCAGCACCTTTTCCATGGACTGATCTCAGATTTACCTCTCTACCACAGAGATGAAATTTTTTTTTGTCCAGGCTTTCAATTTATGTCTTTCAATTCCCCTGGTCAGGAAAGCTTGTACTTCTTTTTCTCCAGGTTGTCCACCCTCTTGGGAAAGCTGCACAAGATAAAGCTGCAGGCAGCACCATCACCCTGGTAACACTAGTCTGGCCCAGGCAGTTCTGATCTGATCACCTGGTTCAATGACCTCAGCCCACCACTGAGGTCTCTAGAGCTTTGACTCTGCTTCTGCAGTTCTTAATTTAAAATATTAATAGAATGCCTGGTGCACACTGGAGACCCTGTATCTCATGGATTGCTCATCCCCAATTCAGGACTTTCTAGTCAACAGTACTGAGGGTTTGAAGAACTGAAATTGTTAGGAGGATGGTGTAGGGTTTTGATTTGGGACTTATGGAGGTTTTCTATCATCCTACTGTCTCTACTCTTTTACACCCCTGAATCATTGGTGAATTTTTGCCTTCCAGTCGCTTCCTAAAGGATCCCAGTCTTGGTTTATTGCTTCTTATGGGTACTCTGAATTAACAGCAGTCTGTTCATGCTTACTTTGTTCATGAAGGTATGCTTCTTTCTGTTGTCTCTGGCAAAAGATATTGGGAGATACAAGGTCTGATAGTTCTCCTGCTTCCTGCCATACTTTCTCCTCTCCAGAAAGTTACTCCAACTGTACAACCCT